CATATACGTGTCATTGTGTTTAGGTTCAACATACGGACACCTTTGCCTTTTGCCTTAGCTTTATCTTGTTCTCGCTGTGTTCATAAGCATTTTAATGAAAATAGATTTGGATACGCTTGCAATGTATGTGATCGGTTATGGTTTGAAAAAATTTGAAACAAGTTACTGATAGCCATTTAGATATATTTGGTACGGAGTTTGTAAATGAAAATGTATCCCAATTTAAGGTATCTTTAAATAAGCAGTAAATACCTATATTGTCTAGGAGTAATGGATTTGTGTATCCGCCATTCCCCACTGATTTGCCTCCTCTAGATTGCGTAAGCGAAAGATTAATATCCCCTAGACTTCCATTTATGCAAATCAGGAGGTTAAGACATCAATTGGGTGCATTTGGGATACTGGGACAAGTTATCAATGTTCCAGTAGATGTTAATAATATGGTAACGCTACTACCTAGAGAATTGGACGATGATTACAGTTTCAACGTCCATATAAAGAAAAACTTGATTCTCAAATCTATGTACCTGGTAGGAATTGTGAAGAAAGATACGATAAAACGTTGGCTTACTTATTTGATTAATACTCCATTATACAAACATTACAAGATTACAGTTAACGATGCATTTTGACGTAAATACGTCTGTATGGAAGGGTCATTCGGCAAAAAGGTGAAAGGAAAATGTGTAAGATCCGTATCAACAAATCGACAACAATGGTTACCTAGGGAACGTCATGTTTACTCGACAAGTGGTTTAAGTGGACCCCCCCCAAGGGGGGTTTAGTTTAATGTCATACTCAAGTTTCCTAGGTAACAACAATACAGAGACATATTTACGTCAGATTCTCCAGAGCCGTGGTTCCACTGCCACTTTTGTCTTACGGTTATCTTATTAATAAATTTTGAATATGGAACTTGTTGCTAAAATTAAGATATTTTGAGTAAGTTTGAGTTATGTCACAAAACAGTAAAAGTAAAAAGTAAAGCTGTCCCACTATACGCCATGTAGGCGCTTGGGGGGGAGTGGAGGTATAGCTCCTACTCATTCTTGACCTCGGCACTAGATGGGGTTAGTGGTCAGCGTCACGCCCTGACCACGCTTTACCCCCAGGGAAAGGACCCCGGTACCCATTGTAGAGGAGGCTGGGTGGGCCCCAGAGTCGGTCTGGACGCAGAGGCTAGAGGAAAAATCCTCTGCCCCCGTCGGGGATCGAACCCCGGCCGCCCAGTCCGTAGCCAGTCACTATACTGACTGAGCTACGCCGGTAATGACTAAAAAATATTCTTCATGATTGTCCATGAGCATATGTGTCAAAGCCTTCTTGTATATTTCATCGTTTACAATGGAGAAACCAATACCCTCAGGATATTTTCTAGGAAATCCAAGGACATCCTGCTTTGTATTTACTTTCACTGCTTTCAATGTTACTAACCTAACCTGTGCTCGTGCCGAATTTGCCAGTTTTAGACGGACGGATTAAAAGGGAGCAGCGGAGTAGCAAGAACTGGATCAGATGACTGAGATTCTTGTAAATTGTTACAGGACGCGTGGTCGCAACATAAGGCTGAGCAACGATCGCTGTATCGCCAGTCGCACAGACACAGAATTCTGCCACGGCTACGTGTTTACCGCGCGACCTATCCAGCTTGGCGAAAAAATTGTGATACAAGTTCTGGCCACAGAACCCATGTATGTCGGAGCATTAGCGTTTGGCCTAACGTCTTGTGACCCTGCCACGATCCAGGGAGCAGATCTTCCAGACGACGCTGACCTCCTCCTAGACCGGCCTGAGTACTGGGTAGTCAGCAAAGACGTTGCCAGTTTTCCTCAGCGAGGAGATGAACTGTCATTCTGCGTGACACATACAGGTTTGTATCTTTGTAGCACGGTCTTTTGGTACAGCGTGACCATGTATTAACAGTGCCGATCACGCAATGAAGATGTTCCAGTATTGCCGTTACTCCTTTTAGTCTCTGTCATGCATTCACTTTACCTCAGACTGTAAATAATGCCTCGCTTAACTTCAATGTTATGAATCGGCAATTGTTTGTAACTTTTAGAATATCACTAATCTGTTTTTGGGCGATGATTTGCATCAGATTTGGGTTAAAACAGATATTTTGAAGAAAAACAACAACACACACCACCTTCTTCTGTCTTTCTTCGAGATTCTTCCAAAGCTCCGCGTTCTTGTGAATGGTCGGCAGTGTCTACCCTTTCCATGTTGCTGTGTTGTTGGTGATGTGCTCCACAGTCTTCCTTGTTTTTGGGTCCGAATTTCTCCATTCTCAGGCAAGGATATGGTCCTTTTGTCCTGCCTTGCAAGAGAAAATATTTTTACAACAGTTGGGGCTGTGGCTCAGGAGACCTTTTCTGTTTGCACGCCCCTTTTAAATGCTGCCTGGTTGCAGCTTGTATAAAATCTGGTAATTGTCGACGTAGCTCGCAGTGGCATTGATGTTCGGGGAAACTCTTCACACATCTACGTCACTAATCTTGTGGCGAGATACTTGTCATGGAAGGAAGACGTGCTACATATGCATAATAACTGGGTTTCTGGGTTGTAGCGCTTGAAACTCATTGCAGTCTCTTCAACTGAAACAGGAACTCGGAGGTTACCAAATTTTCACTCTGTATAGTCAGCCACATCGTGAATTTTAAGTTCTCATTTCAGATTGATGCTCTTATTAAGAATGACATCAAGAAATGATTTGAGCTGTGTCAGGGTTAACAACATTCCAAGTCACTTAAAGTCTTCTTTCTAAGAGTGGTATATGCTTTTGAATTTTCTGTTTTGGTTTGTCAAATTAAATTAAATCCGTGGCGTAGCAGCTCCAGAGAGCCAAAGCCGACTAGCTGGCCTAAGCAGAGGTGAACGATCATCCAACCAGATACAGGGTGACGTGTGGTCAGGACGACGAACCCCCAGCCATTGCTAGCTTTCCTGACCGGATTACGCTACTCATTGTAGCTCCTCAATTTCCTCACGATGCTGGGTTGGCTCCGGTCCCAGACACTGGTGGTCGAAAGCTCATGAGAAAATTTCTTCTCCCCCGAGACTCGAACCAGCGCGCATTCCGTATCGCCAGTCCGAATCATGATGCCTCAGACCGCGCGGGACCTTTGTTATGTCAAAAAATGTATAATTAAAAATTGTAACGGGGAATTAGGTTGCTCACATACTGTAGGCTTGAAACCCTTTTCTAGGCTGTGTGGTTTTTTAGAAAATTCTGAGTCAGAGTTACCATATGCCTTCTTCAAGTCGCCATTAGCTTTCCCAATGTAATTTCTATGTTTACTGACTTCACTTGTGTTAGTATTATCTTTGTGTTCACTTTCTCAGGCTGGAGAATCCTCATCTCTACTATTGAATTCATCCAAAAAGTTACGATATTATCAGTATTCACTTTTGTATTCCTTCACATTTCCAGTCATTTCTTTTTATTTTAATGGTACAAGTAGAAAGCGATATTCAGAAGAGAGTAATTCTCAAACTTCAGGTAGTACGTGAAGTTCAATGAACTGCTCATATACAGCAGGAGTGCATCGGAGAAACTGTCGGTGGATATTTCCAGACTCGCGTCGACGACAAACATTTCTGAAGTGGGGATTGTGGAACATACGATTGCAAAGTGTAAATAATGTAGGTTTATATGTGAGGAGGTGATTTCTGCTCATATCTTTAATTATTTTCACAGGTTTTACAGACGGAATATTTGTACGACAAAGTTTTACGTATGCGCTTCGCCATTGTCATGATTTTGTCTTCCAAACAATTCTGTATGTTTGTTAAATGTTGCAGGTGAAGTCCAGTTCTCGAAGAATGGTAGTGCACCGTTGGTGTTCATGCATGTGGACCAGACGCTACAGCTATGGGCGTTCTTTGATGTGTATGGCAGCACGCAGAAAGTTCGTATACTTGGCAGCTGTGTCGAGCCGCACCATCCCCATTCATCTTCAGGTCAGTTGCTGTTGTATTTGCCTTAAGACTCCTGCCTTCCTATTCCTTATTAGTTAAATCATAAATTGTTAATTTGCCTTCTACAAAAACTGAGTGAAAAATTGTAGAACTTAAAACTCAAAAACTGAATATTTTGAAAGTGCAGCATTTGCATTCATTTTGTATATTAACCGCTCTCATTTTTGTCTCTTCTAATAAAATGGGACTAATTTTTAACCAAGTTTTGCCAAAGGGTAATCTGGGCGACAAATTTTGGCACCAAATATAAATTATGGGAAGCTTGGGGTTGCTAATATCATTTTTCCTCTCCAGAACTCTGACCAAGCAGTCTCCTATGTTCCCCTTTCTACATCTCTGTTTTGTCTAAATATATTCCTTGTTACTTTTTTCAAAAAGTGGTTTAAAGTTTATTTTTCTTCTCTTTGACCATATAAGAATGTCAAATAATTGTTTAATTTTCAGTGGTGTTTTTGTGGCGGATAGCAAAATAACAGTCCTTGAATCAAATAAGAGTTAATTGAATTTATTCATCCTTAATTTCATTAAGAACCTCGCGCTCAACTATTTTAATTTTTATTACAAATGAAAATCATTTCTTATTACTTGTTATTGTAATTTGTAATTGTTTTCGGTTGAGTTACTCATTGACGGTATGCAGTGAGGCAAACTGGTTATTATTATAATTAATTTAAATGAAACAAGGAACTGGTTATTATAATTAATTTAAATGAAACAAGGCTTCATTTATTTCGTGTATGATTGTACTAATCTTGAATGTTTACCATTATAGGGTCAAGAAATTCGTCTCCTCCGCCAAGAGCGATCGATCCTTCCCTAGTAGCGGGGCGACTCCGTGTGAATTTGCCCTGCAGCATGAGTAATGGCACAAACAGCAACAACGGCGTCTCATTGGAAGGTCACGGACAGCCTAACAGCGTGCCAGTTCCAGTGTCGGTGTCGCAGCGGTTCTGCTGCGCCGGGCCCACGCCGCCTCCGACAGCTACCGCCGAGTTGGTCCAGTACCAGCCGTCAGTGGGCGGTGGCATCTCTCTTGTAGTAAATCTCCCACCGGCCCATTCAAACTACCTCAACCAACAGAATCAGCAGAATCAACATCAGCATCAGAGCGCGTTGCCTGCAGTGACAACTCAGCATCACATGCAGTCGTCACAACCTTCAGTACCTGTCGATCTTCAACCCTCTTCCTCAGGCACTCTGCTTTCTACTTACAGTCACACCTACATTGAGGTGAGTGGAGTAATTTTAATCGTTTTTGTATTTCTCTTTGTATATTCTGAATACCCCGTTCTTAGGTTTCTGTGGGTCATATCTGGGTCTCTCTCTGTGCTGTTTCTGTACCGTGTACTTTCGTGAGAGTACCTGTAATTTTCCATGTCAAATACAGGCTCTGCCAGATATACTTAGACGATTTTTAAAACCTAGTAAATCAGCTTTCCGCTACATGGCGCTTCTGGAGCGGCATTCATCGGACAGAGCGTTGTTTAGTGTTTAGTTTAGATGGAGCCCTGGTCAGTGCTTCACAGTGCAGTTTTCGACTACGGTGTCGAAGACGCGGTGCACCCAGTTTAAATTCTCTGCTATTGTATGTGTCAAAATGGCATCGAGATGGATCAGTGAAGGATCGTAAACCACCAGGACATCCGCGTTCGGTTTGCACACCTGACGACATGAATAAAATTTTGTATTATCCCTTGTTTTTGCCTATTCTCCGAACTGGTCTCTTCTCTTCAGGTTATGTGACAAAAATTTCATGTGCCCTTCTCGTGTCTCACCTCACCTGCCTTGATTTCATCAACCCATTAATATTTGGTGAACTGTATAATTTATGGTGTTCCTCATTCATTTTTCTCCACCTTCCTCATCGTCTGTCTTAGTTCCAAATATTCTCCTAACACCCTCAATCTTCTACCCTTGGAGTGAGGGACAAAGTTCCATATTCAGATAACACAGCGTAAGGAATAATGGAAATACACTGTAACACCAACATAATTATCAACGCACGGATAACTCGTAATGCAACTGATTCAGTGTATATACATATAAATTTCAAAATTAGTTCCCCCCCCCCCCAAACCGCCCAAAAAGAAAAAAAACATGAAATTTATTGCTGCAAGGAATTTTTAAAATTTTATCATGAATGCCTCTCTCTTAACTGGAAAACTAATTTTTCTCGTACGTTTTTTGTTCAAGAATCAAAAATGTTTTACATATTATTTCTCTGAATTTCCAGCCTGTGTCAGCTACGTCCTATTCTACTCTGGACTCGACAGCAACGATGCAGCAGTGGGCAGATGCAACAGCTGCTACAGGGGGTAGTGGAACTGAATGTACAATTTGCTATGAGCGTCCTATTGACAGTGTTTTGTACATGTGCGGTCACATGTGCATGTGCTACGAGTGTGCCGTCCAACAGTGGAGGGGCAAGGGCGGTGGCCACTGCCCGCTCTGCAGGGCCGTCATACGCGACGTGATCCGAACCTACAAATCCTGATAGCGGGCCTTGGCCTCCACACCCAGCAACCTTTGCCTCCACACCTGGGAGCAGGGTAAGTGTAGCGCAGTCACAAGAAGAGATGTCCTTCCAGTTTGTGGTATAAATATGTAATGTCTTCAAGTTTACATTGAGCAGTCGTTCAGCGGCATTCAAGAAGGGAAGAACGCTAGATCTGAGCTGGGTATAACTTGGCCGAAGGGAGTTTAGACACAAGGACTTGACAGAACATTCCAACATTAAGGATGTAATCACGTAACGAAGGTTGTCACAAGACCAAATTGTGATGTTGAGATGTGTATGGTTACAGTTGAATCAGTGTCGGATGCACAGACCGGACTGACAGTCTGCGGTTTTCACGTTAAAATTAGCCTAATTGTATGTTTTGTCTGGCGTCTCTTATTTTGGAATTACGCTTCGCAGGCTGGAATAAACATGCATGTGCCCATTTTAAACCACGTCTCGAGACTGCATTTTTAGAATAATCTCAGCCGGAATTTCATCCAAGTTGGAATTAATTTATTTTAACACGTGGTTAATTATCAAGGACATTTTAAGTATTCGCGTCTTGTACGAGCAGCCAAAGATTGGGCTTCCGTAAACAGTCGTCCCATCTAAGATGGTAGAACGTTGAGTTGGAATGGTCTAGAGGAATCCTCCGCATTCGTAGGTTCACTTTCGTTGTATACGAAGCTGTCTTCTGTGCGTTGTCGTGATGGGATCGTATTACTGCGGAGATTAAGCACATCTCGGCATGTTAATTTAATGAGTCAATAACTGAAGGCGCTGGTCAGTGACACCGTGCACAAATGTGAAGGCGGTTCGCGTTTGCGTCGTAATATGACTTCACAATAATTGTTTCTAACCAAAGAAGATAGGACAGGGATTCTCCTGTTGTTTTGATATATGTATGTGGGGCTGACATGCCTCGAGTACAAAGTGGCGTCGTTTCTTTGTATTTCGCTGCTGTAGAAAACTAGTTTTTTTTTATGTATTCAATTATGATTTAGTTCATTTCTTTTTTCTGCTTTGTGGTCTTTCAGGCTGAGACTTTTTTTATGCGAGTGTGCGAAAGATTTGCTTGCGTGACTGTGGTTACGTGTACGTACGTGAAGGTGTATCACTGATCATATGATTGTTTTTTTACATTGGTAGCAGTGTCGTGCTTTTCTACTTGGTGTGATTGTTCATTAGTCCTCCAAGCTTTAGGTCAAGAGTACATTCAGTGGCAGCACGTGTTATATATCTAATCAGCAGATTCGTACATTGTTCCCGGTTGCGGTTAAAAGAGTTCTGATGCGAAGATTTTCCTTCTCTTCGTTGCCGAGACATTCCATTTGTCCTTTTCCTCTCTCTCAGATGTAGTGGAATTCTAGTCATATTGTAAATTATTAATGGTGATAAGTGTGAAGTACTTCCTAAGCTTTGTCCTACGTAGCCACTTGTTATTAGTACGTAAGGTGTATTTGTTTGGGTTTATTTCGAGTTTTCCTTTCCTGTAACACGTAATTAAATCAGACGTTAGATGACGTACGGCGGAAATTGAATGTCGTAATGGAAATGATCTGGCCGAGTGAATAACGCTCGCCACTAGAGAATTTTCACTCTGCTGCCATAGAAACAAGGGATTGCCAAATTGTAGTTTTCTGTGACACATAGGGGTGTACATCCAGTCATGAAAAAATGACTGTTTAATTTCGTTAGGTAATTGATGCCCTTTAACGCAGAGGGCACAGGAATTTGTGAACAACGCTCATTTTTCTGAGTTAATTATTGTTTATAAAAATATTTCCCCTCGGCTGCACGAGAGTTTGAAAGAATAGGCTGGCATGAAACTTATTTTAAGCAACGTTATTTTCGATGTTTGTAGATATCAAAAGTTGTTTGTAATACTGTAAAATGCTCTTAAGTTGAAAAATGATTTATTATTGTGCGAATTTATTTCGTACATTCAATAATAAAGTTTTAAGAACAGTGGATGTGATTGCTTCTTAAGTTGTGCGTCTTGGTGGCTTCTGGTGGTCGATAGAGGTCTTCTTCTTTCCGTTCTATCCCTAGAAAGTTTTTTCTGCTGTTCCGAGTGCAATGCTTTGATATTTGATGTTTATATTCCCTGATTTAGAATGGTTCTTCATGTTCACATTGAGTTTGTTGTACACAAATGTGTTTTCCATTAAGTTGTATACAGTGAGCTTAAGTGTCTTTATGAAATGTTTGTAAGTTTTCAGGTTATATAACTAAATAAAGAACCATCTTATCTAATAATTTTGCTTTATTTAAATTATACCATACTCTAAATTAAGGTTTCCGGTAGGTTTGAAAAGCTATTTTGTTATAGGTTGTTTGCTGTTTGCACAAACTGTGCATAACTTTGAACAAGGATGGATTCTTTTGAATAACTTAAGCAATGAAAAATGGACATTATATTGGAATCAGGAATGTCAAAGAGTCTGTATAGGTCTAGGTTCCTTGAAAAGATTAACGAGAACTAGGAAAGTACAAGTATCATTTAATAGCATTTACATGTTCCTTTATCAAAAAATGTTCTCTGCCTCTTTAAACGCCATATAACTAAATTATCAATAGCGGGACCTCTAATAACAACTTTAAAAACCTTGTTTTGGAAGTTCATTCCCCTTCAATCATTGGGTGACCAATGATAGGACAAAACCCTACTTTTTTGGGCCCCTTAACTTGGTCTGAAGCTGAGATTGGCTTTACCAATGGACCTGGCATAGTAGCGTTGTGCCATCTCATAGCTTCTGAAACACTGCTTAAATTAAAAAACACCTAAGCAATGGATAAAGTAACAGAATAATTATATGCGTATTGTTAAATCATTCTCCGTTCTGACTAGTCGTATCAACAAAAGTTTCTACCTCAGCTTCTCAATCTTATTATAGAACCATCAACATTCTCACTTCACATATTTCAGCTATCAGATATGTCAGTATCATAATCATCTGCTAGTAAGAATATTGACTATCTGCGGAGCCAGTCTTTGAAATACTTCTCTTTCTCCAATAGATGTCTTTAAATTGTTATATAAGCTTTAAACATTACGGTCTAAGCTTTGAGGAAACTAAATATATGTATATTATTGACAGACATTTGATATTTTATTCAGAATATTAATGTTCAGCTGTATATTCGTCTCACTGAATGCTAATGTCTGGACTTCTCAATACTTGAGCGTTGGTCTCGTTATCATAGATTTTGTACTATAACTTTTCTTGTCACGAATTGTTCGAACCTGTAGCCTCTTCAGTTGCCTGAATTGCGTCGTGTGGAGGCTTGTATTCAGCTTCAGGGCTACATCCTGTAACAAGTGACAAATAACAGTTTAACGCGTAGGTCGCTGTTTTAGTGCCCCGTAGCCTGGCACAAGAGTAAGGAGACAGCCGTCTGTGTCCTCTCTGCCGTGAAAACCTCAGATCATACTCGCTATAATGCTTAATCCAAAAAATACTTAGTCAAAAAGAATTATTTAAAGATTTTTTTCAGTTTTAATGAAATATGTCTGTGTTTTACCATCAACAGAAATACGTGTCAATTACATCTTTCCTCTACTGTCTTATCTCAGTGACTCGTAACCTATTTTCAACATGAATGTACCGTACCTGCAGGCAGCATTGTGTGTTTGAGAACGCATTCATAGAGCACAAAATGTGTCACGCTACACAACAAGGACATGGCGCAGAAGATTACGAGCGCCATTCTGCCTCCCACTTCATGGTATAGCACTCCACCAATCAAACTTCCCATGGCATACCCTGCATAAATAGTAGAATGTTTGGATGACGTGACAGGAGAAAATAAAATATTGAGCTTCATAAAAGTAATATTTGCAAACAGAGTGCTGAGAAGAATGTTTGGATGAAGTGACAGGAGAAGATAAAATATTGAGCTTCATAAAAGTAATATTATTATGGGTGAATGAGGTGACTGGAGTACGTGTCGTACATGAGGCAACATTTTTGTTGAAATCCCTGAAGAAAGGAGAACACTTGGTAGAGCCAGGTGTAGATGTCATCATGGGTTTTCCTCTTTCCTTCCAGGCAAATTTT